AATCAAGTTGCAAAAGGACATACATAGTATGTACTCACTTGTAAATGTATATTAGTATAGGATTAATGAGGTCCCACATCTGCCCCACCACAGGGCTCTGGCCACTCAGGGAGGCAAGACATGGGAAGTTGGACTACAGGGGATTTACAGGACACTGCTCCAAGGGTGGGACAGTGCAGTCTGAGGTCCCAGGGATGCTGGAGCTGGCTTGGGGGTCCCCAGGTCTGCAGAATGGCCAAGGCCATCTGGTTCTCAGGTTCTTGGGCATCCAGGCACCACTGGGAGCCACTAAAGGGCTGAGAACAAAGTGGAGGCTCACAAGCTGTATCTGGCCTCCAGCCGAGGGGGGAAAGAGGGATCTCTGGCTGGATCCTGTGGGGATGAGTTCTTGGCTTGGTCAGCATGTGGTTGGCTTTGTTTGGTGCTGTGGCTGGGAGAACTCAAAGACCTTCTTCAGGAGATTAGATGGCAACCCTTTTTAGGTGAATGCCTGCTCCGTTGCTCCCCATGGTGGATCCCAATGAAAAGAGACAGTCCATGGTTTTAAGTCATTTATTTTCATGGCAGAAAGTGGATGAATCAAACCTTACTGAGTTCTCAGGGAAGGCTTGAGGCAAAATACCGTTTGTAGGGAGGACTGTCTGGGAAGGAGAGTTTATTGGCTAAGCCTCCAGCCCTTTAGGTACCTCATTAAAATGGAGATCTCTCTTGAGGTTACCTGACCACAGGTCATGTCCTCTACCTACAGAGGGGCTTGGGGCATTTCCCTTACGTGACTGAAGGACACAAATCTATGAAGGTCTGTGGTCACATGCCAGGAGCCTAGTGTCCAGGAACCAGGCAGAATGACTGCTGTCCCTTTAGGGTCACCGGGGTTTCTAACCTTAGCTCAACAAGGAACCAGACTGACTTTCAGGATTCTACATATTAGCCATAAAATACAGGATGCCCATGGTATATGTCACAGACCCAAGGAGGCTGGACAGGAAGGAGGGCACAAGCGAGGATGCTTGAGCCTCACTTGGGAGTTGCAATGAAGGGAGGGAACTGGGTGGAAAAAGAGGATCTGGATAACAGAGTGGGGATTGCAGTCACGTGAAGGGAGGGCAATGGGGATGACCAGATGGGATCACCGTGAGAAAGAATGAAAATCTGCAACTGATGGTGGGCAGTAGGGGGCATCTCCAGGAAAAAAAAATGGAGGCCTGGGATAGGGAAGTACCCAAGAATCAATAAGGGTGTCCTTAGGTGTAACTCACAACAGTGGGTATATGGAGACTGGGGGGGGGTGCCTCCTGTGCCCAGGCAGGAATCGTGGTGTACTCAGAAGGACACCAACCCACCTGTAGGTAGTTGGTGATTAATCTTCTCTAATCTCCCCTCCTCAGTGGCAGAGTTCCTCTCTATCTGCACCAATGTTGTGAATCTTGAATGTAATTTGGGGGAGCCCAATGAACATAAGTATTAAGTCAAATACACAACACCCACCCACAAATGGTCAGCCTAAGACTTATCCTAAAATACAAAAAAAATGCAGAGATTGGGGATTGAGCAGAGACTAATGGAAAGGTCATCTAATGACAGGCCCAACATAAGACTCATCCCATGGACAAGCACCAATCCCTGTCAGGAAGATCAACAGAATCAACTAACCTGGACTCTTGGGGCTCTTGGAGACTGAACCACCAATCAAAGAACATACATGTGTTGGACCTAGGCCTCCCTGCACATATGTAGCTGATATGCAGCTTGGTCCCATGTGGGTCCCAAACATCTGAAGCAGGAGTCTATCCCAAGAGCTGTTGCCTGTGTGTGGAGTATGAACTTCTAACTCAGCTGCCTGGTCTAGACTCAATGGGAATGGAAGCACCTAGTCTCATACAGACTTGAAGTGCCAGCATAATGGAGTAATATAAAAAAAGATGTTGTGAATATGACTAGAATGCAATACTATACGTACAACAGAGAGAAGGGTTAACTCCTGGCTCAATGTTGTATGTCAGACCGCCCTTCCCTAGATTAAGCAATGAAAGACATAATATCCCATGATTCAACTCAAAGTGTTAATAACATGGGACCATTATGACCTTCTGAACTGTTGTCTTACTATGGAAGTTCTGATAAATTCCATTATCATGATTGCCAATTGTGTTCATACATATGTCTGTTAACTCATGGTGTGGCCCAAGCTGCTCAGGAGATTGTCTCTTGAGTGGATGCCATGGATAGGTATGAAATCATGACAGCTGAGGATGGAGAACATGATCTTTACAATGTATTTTTAGAAATGTTTTGATGAAAAGTTTTCAGACCTCAGATGCAGAGCTTGAGGCCAGATTTTTTTCAGATGTATCCAGGGATCATGATACAGGATGAATGGAAAGCAACTGAAATATATAATTAAGTGGATTTTCAGACAGCAATAGACTTCAAACACACACATAGGTGTAAATATGTGTATGATGTTTGCCTGTGTAAGAAACAGATTTCACAACTGCTCCTTCTTAGATCCTAGCAGACATGAAGAATCTGTGTATTTTCACTATTTCCTTCTGGCTCCTGAAGTTTTCTCTCATCTTGTGCAGTTTGACTGAACCCCTTTGCTTTTGGAGGATAAAGAATAGTGTTGATAATGATGGAGATTTGAGAAGTGACTGCGGTTTTGTTCTTTTAGCAATTGACTGGCCTATAGAAGATTTTTATAAAGGCATTATCAATTGCAGGTAAGTTATTAAGTTTATTTCCTGCTTCAGTGTCATGAGTTAGAAATACATAGCTGTATACACAACTGTGGGATTCTGTCCTGTTCTGTCCTGTTACATTAGGAAGTACTGAAAACCAATTATCATATCAATCTCTACTTTAATTCTTTCAAATGTGTCACAGTTTATTTTGGTTTTAGTACATTGGTCTTCAGGTCACAAACTGGACAGTGATAGAGACTGGATTCTATTTTTTGCCTCCTTGTGTACTTTAGATGTTGAAAGATGGCATTGCACAAGGTGTCTTGGCCTGTCTTGAATTCACAATTCTCCCCACTCTTAGGAGCTGAATATGAAGAGGCTGCCTGTCTTCAATTGTCTGCCAAAGATTTCAATATGAGCATGCATTCTAAAGGCTTTCATTAAAAAGTTATTTAATTCAGGTCTCTAACTTTAGGGCACACATATATACCTTGAAATTTGTGTGTGTCTAGTATACATGACTATGTACATGATATCACATATATATTTGTGAACATACATACACATTGCTTTTAAATATAGTCTCTCAATAAGCCTTTCCTGTCATCCTGGACACTGTAAATGTAAAAACCCGCCAGGCTTTAGATTATGTTACGAGTGCTATTTTGGTCCACTTGTGCATATGCCCAGTCACAGATTAGGTCCATGATCAGTATCAGACAGGTGGTCAATTTTCCTATTAATTGGTGAATAAATGTAACATTATAGAAATTATAGGTGAATATATCTAGTGAATAAGAAGCTGTTCTCAATATGTCTACATAGTTCTCAGATTTCAAGTGTGAGATATCAGTGTTGGCTGCAGATCATGAGGGAAGGAGTATTAAAATCATTCACCTTTCAAAGAGGTTTCCTCTATTTTTCTGTCTCTGACTCTCATCCCGTCTTTTATTTCTTTTTCACCTCTTTGGGATTTTAAGAATGCATTTTCTTCTTGCTAGCCAAAATACACTGTGCATACTTTGATACATTGCTTCACATTATTATTCCTGGATAACAGGTCAGAAGGAATCTTCTTTCTAATGTATCCTATGTTACCCCATACCTCATTGAGAAAATAATAGAATTCATTACTAGTGACACTTTTGTCTGTAGTAATAAAGATCAGAATTACAAATATATGAACTGTGTTAATACATATTTGTAAAAGAAAGACTTAGCTGTAAATTCTCAACTGACCATGTTTGGTGTTTTTCCTTTTGATGGGAAGTAAACACTAATAGTAACAGACATACAGGGAGACAATACTGGGGCAGATAAACACATTTCATATGAAGAATAGATCTCAATGCTCAGATATCAATTAAAGGATGGCAAAGAATTAGGAAAACTGAGGTGTATAAAGGAATCTGATATCATTTTAGTAAGTTGACATAGAAATATTCACACGAAAAGCTTACATTAAATTGATGTATAGGTGAGCCTACAGGATAATATTCCTGTTTTGTGGTATACTATACTTTACATTTTGAAATGGATATATAAATGTAAATGAAATGTATTCTAAAATAATTATCATGTTTGATGAATATTAACATTTGAAAAATATGAAAAGCATACTCCATAAACTTCATGGAAATATCATTATTGATAATTTTCCTCACTGTGCATGAAATTAGAATTTTCTTAATGTTTAACTTCAAAAAGTTTTGTCTATATTGATATTTGTAAATTTTGCTTACAGAAACATAGATAATCATTTTTAAGTAAACTGATTTTTAGAGAAGTTATGCTGTTATATAATGCATTTTGAATATTCTCACTATATGTCAGGTAATATCATATAATCGTTTTTGAGTAATTTCTTTATGATTTACTCTTTAGTATTTTGCCCTCTTTTGCTATGTTTAATTTCCAAAGAATATTTTGTACACAAGCATTAGAGATAGGATCCGGAGTTGTGGATATTAATCACGATGTGTTAATGGTATTTTAGGGTAATAAGGGATTTGAATATAAAAAGAAACATGAAATATCTTGATGTGTTATTTGATTCTTAAAATACTCAATATGATAAAGAATTTGATTCATAAAAGAAATTTTTAAAAATAAAAACCTTTTTGTGTATCACTATGCAATTTTACTTGATTAAATTCTTTAATATAGAAGGGAAACTCAAATCAATAGAAAGTTATAGAAAATAGTAATTTGATGTCATTCAAGTTTTTTCTTTATCTTCATTTTTTTTTTTTTTAGTTTCTTCAAGACAGGGTTTCTCTGTGTAACTCTTGCTGTTTGGGAACTTACTCTGTACACCAGGCTGGTCTCAAACTCAAATCTGCCTGCCTCTGCCTCCCAAGTGCTGAGATTAAATGTGTGTGCCACCACTGCCCAGCTCCCCCCCCTTCTCTGTATGTGTGTAGACTGTCAGAACTCACTTCTCTGCTCACACCATGTTGGCACTGGAGATTAAACTAGGTCCTAGGGTTGACAGTGAACTTTCTTATTATTTTTATTTTAATCTTTTTCTACAGTCCAGAATTTATCCCCCTCCCAGTTCACTCTCTGACTGTTCCACATTTCATACCTCCGCCCCCGATCTCCATGAGGATGTCCCCAACATTGACGCCCACCCCAACACACCTCCCAACTCCCTGGAGCCTCCAGTCTCTTGAGGGTTAGGTGCATTTTTTTTTAATGTGTTCAGACCTGGCAGTCCTCTGCTACATATGTGTTGGGGCTCTCAAATCAGCTGGTGTATGCTACCTAGCTGGTGCCCCAGTGTCTGAGAGATCTTGGAAATCGAGGTTAGTGGAGACAGCTGGTCTTATAGGGTCATCCCCTTCCCCAGCTTCTTCCAGTTTCTACCTAATTCAACCATTTTGGTCAGCAGTTTCTGTCCACGGGTTGGGAGTAAATATCTGCATCTGACTCTTTCAGCTATTTATTGGGTCTTATAGAAGGCAGCCATTATAGGCCTCTTTTTGTGAGCATGCCACAGTATCAGTAATAGTGTAAGGCCTTGAGGGATGGATCCCAATTTGGACCTGTCAATGGATGTCGATTTCCTCAGGCTCTTCTCCGTTTTTGTCCCTGCAGTTCTTATAAACAGGAACAATACTGAGTCAGAGCTTTTGACTGTGGGATAGCAACCCTATTCTTCCACTTGATGTCCTGTCTTTCTACTGGAGATGGGCTCTACAAGTTCCCTCTCCTCACTGTAGGGCATTTCATCTAGGGTCCTTGCCTTTGAGTCCTGAAAGCCTCTCACATCCCAGGACTCTGGTACATTCTAAAGAGTCCCCCCACCTCCAACCTATCAAGGTTGCCTGTTTTCATTCTTTCTGCTGACCCTCAGTGCTTCACTCCTGTTCCTCCATCTACCTGATCATGATCCCCTTACTTAGTGACTACATACAATGTATGTCCTTTTCGGTCTGAATTACCTCACTCAGGATAACATTTTTGAGTTCCATCCATTTGCCTGAAGAACTCATGATGTCCTCATTCTCAATAGAGGAGTAGCATACCATTGTGTAATTGAACCACATTTTCTGTAGCCATTCTTCTGTTGTGGGACATCTCTGTTGTTTCTGGCTTCTTGATATTATAAATAAGGCTGCTATGAACATAGTGGACACATGTGCCCCTCTGTTATGGTGGGACATCTTTTGATATACCAAGAGTATATCTCGTCTTCAGGTTGTTCCATTTCTAATTATCTGATAAAATTCTAGATTTATTTCCAAGTGGTTGTACCAGTTTGCAATCCCACCAGCAACAGAGGAGTGTTTCTCTCTTTCTCCACATCCTCGACAACAAATGCTGTCACTTGAGGTTTGATCTTAGGCATTCTGATTAGTGTAAGGCGGAATCTTAGGGTTCTTTTGATTTGCATTTCCCTGATCACTAAGGACTTTGAACAACTCCTTAAGTGCTTCTCAGCCATTTGAGATTCCTCTGTTGTGAATTCTCTGTTTAGTTCTAGACCATATTGTTTTTGATTGGGTTGTTTGGTTTCTTGGTTGGAACTCTTTTTGAGTTCTTTAAATATTTTGGATATTAGCCCTCTATCAAATGTAGAGTTAGAGAAGAATTTTTCCTAATCAGCAAGAAGGAGCATGTGTTATAGATTTTATACATGGTTCATTATGGTTTTTATGTTTTTATGGAATTCAAACTCTAAGACTATTGTATAGAAGTCGTATTTCCTAGGATTGTAATCTAGTTTGCTGGGGGCCAATCTTATATGTTCCTCTTTCTTGTTTGGTTCTTCTTGAGGCAGCAGAGGGGGATGAGGGTTGGTAGGGATAAGAGTTGGTCTTGCAAGATGTTTAAGGTTGCTGTATGATAATAAAAATTTTCACTATTTTTAACCTGAGTCACTTTGCTTCAGTAGCTAGCCTGCCTTCTCTGTTTCTCTGATTTCAGAAAGTACAGTTTCTGCCATTAACACCTCATTGCAAAAGAGCAGGATAATAAGTAAAGGGTTAATTATTACAGCCTTTCCCTTTTGTCAAGATGCCTCTTGAATGTCAAGGTGGGGAAAAGTTTGTAGCAATAAACTTCTATTGAATCTGGAGAAAATAATCACCCTCCCAAAGGAAAAAAATTATGTAACCAAATAGGCATAAACTCATATAAATTCATATATTGATTCACGCATGCATATGTACACATTTCCATTCAAGCCAATTGGATCAACCTTATATGCATTCTCATAATTACATACATACACACGCTCATAGTGACATATGCATTTGGATCACCCCCACCCAAAAAAAAAGCACCAGTGCAGAAAGAACTCACCTATTCTGGATAAAAAATTGAGTTCCAATATTTATTGTATAATGAAAGGGAAACCTTCTACCCTTTTATTCCTAAATGAGTTAAACCCAAGTCTATATAAAAAAAGCTTTGTTCTGTTTAATAAGACTGAGTCTGCCTGGCTATTAAGGAAAGAACTGCTCTGTCCCATGGTAGGGAGAAGGTTGCCTGCTCCTTCTGCTCTCTCTGCAGCTTCTCCTTTTTTCTGAGTTCTCTCTCGGTTTTTTTGCATTTCTTGATTAGTTTTTTTAAGTTGCCTTAGAATTTCTTCTTTGTTGTTGTTGCTTTTGTTTTTTATTTGTTTTGTTTTGGAGGTTTTTTGTTTCATTCTATTTTTGTTTTTTGAGGCAGGGTTTCTCTGTATAGCCCTGGGTGTCCTGGAACTCACTCTGTAGACCATGCTTGTTTGAACTCAGAAATATGCTTGCCTCTGCCTCCCAAGTGCTAGGATTAAAGGCATGCACCACTGCTGCCTGGCCTGTTTTATAATTTCTAAGTTATGTTACTCTGCATTTTCCTCCTAGTCTTGCTTTCTCCTCAAGCTCTGATATAACAATAATGCCTTTACTCTCATTATCATTACTCCTGATTCTCTGCCTTACGTCTAGGTTCTTCTTGAGTTCAATTCTATCTAAAAAGTATTCTCCTGAGTTCTGTCTAAAAAGTTCTGTTCAGTTCTGGGTAAAAGGTGTTCTGTCTAAAAGGTATCCTCAGCTCAGTTCTGGCTCTTCTCTTTGCCTCAGCACTTACACAGCTTTCACAATACATGATCTCATAGTAAATAGTTCGCCACAGCTTTACATATAAATTCAAATCAGAAATCAAATAAGAAGTTTACAACAGACAATGTTCACATCCATATCCATTAGGAGTAATTATGTGGCTAACCATTCATCATTTGTCACAATTCTACAGGTTCATGGAGAGTTAGAAACCATAACAACTACGACTAAGTAATTAGTGAAGTTTTGTAAGGATAAAGCCAGTAAATATTTTATTTTGTGTCCTAGCACTTTAAAGACCTTTGGTTAATGGTTTTAGAAGCTCTTGGAATATGCTCTGAGTAGAAGTGCCTGCTTGCTATCTCAGAAGCAATTAACTCATAACACTAAAGACTGGCAGAATTCTCATTGCAGTCTTGACTGCCAGAAATAATTTAATAGCATTGTATTATAAAAGAGTTAAAGATTACTATATTTTTAGGAACCCCTGTAGGATCATCAATAAGGATTAAGAAATCTTCAATTTATCTATATAGCATCACTACAAGACATTATATCATAATCTGCAGAGATCTGCTCAAAAGGATGGGCTAATACCTAGTGGTTGTCATATATATTTAATAACAACAGGAAAGCATATAAATAGCAGGAATCATTCCTAAAATAAATGTTCCCTGGGACTTGCCTACAAGAGAAAATCTATCATAGAGTTTTTTAAATCTAAGGCAGACCTATCTCAGGAAGATCATCTGCTAGTTTTTAGCTTCTCCTTGTCAGCTCCTGACACTAGTTCTGGAATGGCATTCAGAGATAAAACAACGTCTTTATGGATTTTCTTGATTATAAAAAGTATCACACTACAGTAACATATTTTGAGGAATATTTAAATTATATTCAACCCCAAAGATCTCTAATTTCTAAGGCTTATTTAAGCAAAAGTAGCACTTACACAAAAACTTAGCATTCTTCATAGCACAATGATTACTGCAATTTAGCAGAAAATTTCATGTCTTGTACATCATCCTTAATAATTCCTTTGGCTTCTTGTAGCATACCAGCAAGAAGATATGAGGAGTTTTTAGTAATGTTTTTCGCTACTGATGAGATCAACAAGAATCCTTATCTTTTACCCAACATGTCTTTGATGTTTACCCAAATTGTTGGCATGTGTGAAGACACATTTGGACTTCTGGATGAAATCTATTCACTACAAAAGAACAATTATTTTGATTTTGTTAATTATAACTGTGGAATACAGAGAATTTGTAATATACAACTTACAGGACCATCATGGATGGCAATCTTAAAAATGACAAGTTATTTTAAGAGAGTGAAGGTGAGAATGTGTGACACTGGATGAGTTCATAATATTCATTCCACTCACAGGTGCCTAGGGAGAAACCTTGGTCAGCATTTGTTTCTGTGTGTGCTGTTTTACACATATTAAAAAGGACAAAAAATCAGATCATAGACACATTGTAGGAAATAGGCAAAACACTTTTCTAGAATGCTCAGAGATGACAAGAAGTGTCTAGAATATAAAATAAATAATACATGCTATTTATAGAA